GAATTTCTAGAAAACACTTATAAACATAAAGAATGACATGATTCAAAGCTCAATTTGAGAAATCAAAGCCCAAGGGTGTTTAATTCAAACCCAATTTCAAACCAATTTCATGAAAAAATCACGCTCGATTGGGCGCTCGACACCCGCTCGAGCATGAGACACAATTCCCCGCTCGAGCATGAGACACAATTCCCCGCTCGAGCGTCAATTATTCCGCTCAAGCGGAATTCAAAACAGAACAAAATGCTGGAAGCATGATTTCTACGCTCAAGCGCCAGTCACCCCGCTCGAGCGTGAGTCCAAATTCTAAAAATTTCAGATTTGAACCTCAAGCTCAAAGCCAAGTTTTAAACCAGAAATTTCGATCCTCTTGGGCCAATTTTTCAGAAAACACATCAAAACTCATACTTTAACATGATTCAATACTCAATTTGTAAAATCAAAGCCCAAGGGTGTTTCAAATAAATCCAATTCAAACCAATTTCCATGAATATGAAGAACATGTAACCATGCATGAATTTAAACCATTTCAAGCTTCAATTTCATGCTCTAATGAGCCAATTCTTTCAAAGACAAGGTGAAAACATGGTCTATTGTAAAAATATGAGCATGCAAGTACAATTTCATGAAGGACAACTTCAAAACTTCAAAGTAAAGGCATGCATGCATGAACTAGGCTCCAATTCAACAATTTGAGCCATAAGTTGGCTCTAGTCTCCGAACTAGGTCTAAACCATGCAAGAAACAATTTAAACACAAGAATGAGAAGATGAAATTCTACCTTAACTCTCCAATTCAAGGAAGGGAAGCTCAAATATGCAATTTCTTCTTCAATTCCAAGCAATTCACAAGCTAAAGTGAGATGAAATCCAACTCTCTCCCTTATCTCCCCTTCTCTAGACGACAAAGGCAAGGAATGAGCTGAGCAAAAGTGTGCCTAGGTGTATACTAAGGCTCAAATGTTGATCATGGTGTGGGCCACTCATGTGGCAAAATGGTAAATAAGGCCAACTATGCAATTTAGCTCATTTTAATCTAATTTAATCATACCTAATCAGTTTTTAGGTAACTATACCATAAAATCACATAAATTACGATGATCATAAAACACTAATCGGTTTCCGGTTCGGCCGCCAATAAGGCCTTCAATTAGCAATTTAAACATAAAAACTGAACAGATAATTAAACAGTCAATAGATAGACATAGATAAATGCACAATTAAACAGATATACTCAGTCAATTCGGTTCTAGATTTCAGTCAGTCAGTTCAGTATTTCAATCAGTTCACTTATCAGTCATAATCAATTCAGTTTAACGGTAATCAGTGGTTATTCGGTAAATAATGGTGAGGGTTATTACACCCAAGCCCAATTTGTTCTTATTAAACAGCCTCGGGCCCAATTCGTTCATGTCAAACAGCCTTTGACCCAATCATTCATGTCAAACAGCCTTCGGCCCAATCATTCGTGTCAAACAGCCTTCGGCCCAATCATTCGTGTCAAACGGTCTTCGGCCTAATCATTCGTGTCAAATGGCCTTCGGCCCAATCATTCATGTCAAACGGCCTTTGGCCCAATTATTCGTATTTATGCGCATTTCATACTTGAGATCATAAGCATATCATAATCATAATCATATTCCAACGGCCTTATTCAATCATTGGCATAATGAATATTCGATTCAAATTAACAAATCCGTAGAACTCATACAGAAGTGAGCATTTGAAAAGTAGCATACTTCAACACTTTCTTACTAAGATATTACTCATAGTGTTCTGCCGATAGATTTGCCCTTGCGCTCAACCTTACACATTTCATAACATATTGGGTCACAAGCGATTCAATCCGTTCTTAATTCATTTATTTCTCTTAGGCCTCTTTCATATCCTTTTAGTTTATTTGCAATGCTCAATGCATGCCTAAGAGTGTTTAGAAGTGAAAGAGAACGGAAAACGAAACATAAAGCATATTTTCAAAATTTCTAAAACAGCGTTCTCCGCTTGAGCGCAGCTTTGGTCGCTCGAGCGGACTGCAAAGCTCCATAAAAGTACTGGTTGCATGAATTTTATGCTCGAGTGAGACTTCTAATGCTCGAGCGAGGAGTCTTGTAAGATAGGGTTCGCTCGAGCATAAGATTTGTCGCTTGAGTTGTCGTGCAATTCATTGACAAACTTCTCGGAGCTTGATTTTCACGCTCGAGCAAGACTTTTTTCGCTCGAGCGAACAGGTCGAATTCTGGGTTTTCCAGAATTCTGTTTGAAGCTCAAAACACAATTCCAAAGGACCAATTCGAGTATAACTCACTCAATTATGCAAGAATACTCTCAAAAACATATATTGAAGAGAACCTTTCAACCACAGTTCAAAATTCTATGGGTTTAACAAATTTCAAACCATAAACTTATACATATACAATTCATGTTTTGTATCTTGCATAGACAAGCTTCAAGGCTTGAAATCAAGCTTCAACATATGGAAATTCTTACATGCATGTGTTAAACAACCCTCAATACAACATGATTAACATGCTTCATAGTTAAACATGCAAATTTGTGGCTAATCCTCACATGCATGTACATATTAACTTCAAATTCATTACAATCAACTCAATTCTTGTTCTTAATTGCATATCTTGCTTGAATTTACTTAGTTATAGATTTCAACTCATCAATTTGAGTTCAATTACTCACCTAAGAGCTTCAACCCTTGAAATTTTGGCTAATTCTTGAGCCTAGCTTCCAAATGCTTCAATCTTGAAGTCAATTATCCAAGAATTTGGTCCCTCTCTCTCTAAATCAAGTGTTTTCCTTCTCTAAAGTGTATAACTCAGCCAAAAGGTGAGGTGATGAGCTCAAAAAATGTGAATTAGGCCCCTAATTAGCATATATATAGGTCTCACTAATCATATTGGCTAATTAAGGCTTATGCCTAATCAAATGAATATAATTAAATCAGATTAATCTAATTATTTTGATACGAATCAATTTTTAATTAAATTTCACCGTAATCTCTAAAAATCATGCTAAATGCATAAACACAGTCAATTTCAGTTTTTGTCGTCTTTACGGCCTTTAATTAAATTTTTATAGCTGATATTCAAACAAATCTTCCTACGGTAAACAGATAAAATTTCAAAAACACATATAATCACATAATTGACATTCAAAATTATATCAAGCTCATAATTATAGGCATAATTAGGATTAATTAGCATAACATGGGACAGAGTTATCACATTCCATTTGCCTAATTGACATCCAAGCATCGGTTGCCCAGTCCAACTTGTTAAACCTAGCAAACTCCGTTTACAAGGTCGCCAGAGCCAAGCCTAGCAAAGTCCCTTTGCAAGGTTGCCAAAGTCAAACCTATAAAAATCCGTTTGCAAGGTCCATTTGTAAGTTCGCCAAAGTCAAGCCTCGATGGGCTTTGCCCGGCCCACCAGTCTGGTAGAAATGTCCCTTTCAGTTACGTATACCAAAGTAAATTGCAATATGGTTTGATTTAAATGAAAGAACATAATCAATAATTTATAATATTTCATATTTAATTTATAGAATATATTAACAATAGAATTTAGATTAATTACATTATTTTGCGAGAATCATCACTCAAGCTTTGTTGGATTTTGATTTAGATTGATAAATTTTATTTGAGTAATGTTAAAAACTTGTACATTTGACTCACAAATTCACATATAATGACGTGGCAAGGGAATTAGGCTCTTTAATGATGGGATGTGTAACAAATCAAAAATTGACACTTATTCTAACATATCATTATGGATAGAATTGTAAAAATTTGTGAGAATCTCAAATATTTTCCATTTTATTCCTCATCAAATTTTGATGTCTAAATCTTAAAATTGTTAACTAGACTTTGGTTGTTCAAAATGGACCTATCCAACTTAACCCCTAATTTTAGTTAGTAATGATCATTTTCTCTTGCCTCGTTTTACTCCGGCGTCTCTCGTTTCGCATTGTATAGATTTTTCTCACCCCAATGAAAAATTAAGGTGAGGATAAGTTTAGCTTCTCCCGTTCCCAATATATTTATATATAGGGGTGTTTTGGGAAATTAGTAAAAAGCTGACTTTTGGTTTTTTATCAAGCTTTTTAGTTTTTTTGGAAAGTGATTTAGAAAGTTGGTAAAAAGTTAACTTTTGACTTTTTGGTTTAATATTTGTTTTATGGTGTCACATCACATTAAAATGACCACTATATACTTATCCAACTTAGGAAATTTACCTTTTTACCTATTGTGTGTGTGCTTGAACAATTTTTTGAAAAAATTGAGGGTAGTTATGTAAATTCACATGTTTGCCTTTTACACCACTTCCCAAATGGTTTGTTGCGTTTTGCTGTCCATGGCTTTTTTTTCTCAAGCTAATATACATACCATTCATTTTTATTCATTTATTTCTCATATTATATATTTTAATTTTCGTTAATTATAAAGTATTATTGTTAAAATATATTTTATTATCTCTAATTATCACTAAAAAAGTATTTAAAATGATCTAAATAAATATATTTTTTGACCTTTTACAAAAAAATAAAAAATAAAATAAATAGATGATATGACTTAAAAAATATAAAAAGATAAAAAAGTATATACTAATATAAAAAATACCAAATATTTTTTATTTTTTATATTACAAGATTAATAACTTTTAATACCAATTTGTCCCCATCCTCGATACCAACCCCATTTAGGCCACATTTGATAACTTTTAATTTTAATTAAAAAGTAAAAATATTATTATAAATTGTTATATAATTTTTTTTTTATATTTTTATATATTTTCTTATAAAAAATTAAAAAAATATTAAAATAACATATTCCTAACCTCAATCTACATATAATAAAACAGAACGAATTTTGAAAATATGTTAGACATAATTGTACTACTAGGACATTTCAAGAGTTAGGATTCATATTTGTGTATTCACATGAATGGCTTAGATAACCCCCTTAATTTTATATCCATCCTTAATTTTATGCCTCCTCCTTGCCCACGTCTCCCCACCCTTCTATCTTTATCTCACTGATCTCCAGCCAAATCACGTCTCCCCTCCATCCCTCTCTCTCTCTCTCTCTCTCTCCCTGTTCTTCTTCTTCCCGAAACTGCTCTCCTTCAACCACAGATTCGGTTTCGTCTCCATCCCTATATTCGGTTCCGTCTAGCTGTGCTTCAACCGCTCAGGTATGGCAATCTCTATCACAACTATTCTTCTCACCCTTTAGAATCAGAATCACAATAGTTCTGAATCTTTTTATTTTCATCATTTCAGATTTCTGAGGTTACGATTTCAGAGGTTGCGATTTCATCGCTCAGGTATGGCAATCTCTATCACAACTATTCTTCTCACCCTTTAGAATCAGAATCACAATAGTTCTGAATCTTTTTATTTTCATCATTTCAGATTTCTGAGGTTACGATTTCAGAGGTTGCGATTTCATCGCTCAGGTATGGCAATCTCTATCACAACTATTCTTCTCACCCTTTAGAATCAGAATCACAATAGTTCTGAATCTTTTTATTTTCATCATTTCAGATTTCTGAGGTTACGATTTCAGAGGTTGCGATTTCATCGCTCAGGTATGGCAATCTCTATCACAACTATTCTTCTCACCCTTTAGAATCAGAATCACAATAGTTCTGAATCTTTTTATTTTCATCATTTCAGATTTCTGAGGTTACGATTTCAGAGGTTGCGATTTCATCGCTCAGGTATGGCAATCTCTATCACAACTATTCTTCTCACCCTTTAGAATCAGAATCACAATAGTTCTGAATCTTTTTATTTTCATCATTTCAGATTTCTGAGGTTACGATTTCAGAGGTTGCGATTTCATCGCTCAGGTATGGCAATCTCTATCACAACTATTCTTCTCACCCTTTAGAATCAGAATCACAATAGTTCTGAATCTTTTTATTTTCATCATTTCAGATTTCTGAGGTTACGATTTCAGAGGTTGCGATTTCATCGCTCAGGTATGGCAATCTCTATCACAACTATTCTTCTCACCCTTTAGAATCAGAATCACAATAGTTCTGAATCTTTTTATTTTCATCATTTCAGATTTCTGAGGTTACGATTTCAGAGGTTGCGATTTCATCGCTCAGGTATGGCAATCTCTATCACAACTATTCTTCTCACCCTTTAGAATCAGAATCACAATAGTTCTGAATCTTTTTATTTTCATCATTTCAGATTTCTGAGGTTACGATTTCAGAGGTTGCGATTTCATCGCTCAGGTATGGCAATCTCTATCACAACTATTCTTCTCACCCTTTAGAATCAGAATCACAATAGTTCTGAATCTTTTTATTTTCATCATTTCAGATTTCTGAGGTTACGATTTCAGAGGTTGCGATTTCATCGCTCAGGTATGGCAATCTCTATCACAACTATTCTTCTCACCCTTTAGAATCAGAATCACAATAGTTCTGAATCTTTTTATTTTCATCATTTCAGATTTCTGAGGTTACGATTTCAGAGGTTGCGATTTCATCGCTCAGGTATGGCAATCTCTATCACAACTATTCTTCTCACCCTTTAGAATCAGAATCACAATAGTTCTGAATCTTTTTATTTTCATCATTTCAGATTTCTGAGGTTACGATTTCAGAGGTTGCGATTTCATCGCTCAGGTATGGCAATCTCTATCACAACTATTCTTCTCACCCTTTAGAATGGATGGATGTATTCCCCGCTCGAGCGCCAACACCTCCGCTCGAGCATACAGGCCAAAAATCTGGGCAACTAGTTTTGGTTCCAAAACTCAACCATCCTGAAACAAACCCGCTCAACACATCCAATAACTCAAATACAAAGTAAGAAAGGATGTAAACAAGATAATAAACAACTACCAACATCCACGGACACATGTCCGGATCACTATACAACAAGGGTAAACCTGGGATCGCTATAAGTAGTTTCTTGAATAAACTTTAATTTTTAATTTTATGCAACTTCCATTTTTATTCTTATTCAACTTCCATTTTCATTCAATTTCCTTTTCTATTGTATTTCCTTTGTTATTTAATTTCCAAATAGATCGTTAAGGTGTAGAGGTTTCTTAAATGAACTTCCATTTTTAATTTTATGCAACTTCCATTTTTAAAAAATCTATATATATATCAACACAATTTGAATAGCACATAAAATAAATAAAGATGTGATATTGGCCAAGCATTTGAATGCGCAACACAATTAAGAAAACCGACCACTATCTCTTTTCTTACTCTCTCACCATGTCTTCAACAGGGATGAATAAATAGTCCATGAATTATGAGTGAAAATTTAAATTGGATTATAGAAATAAAATAAAATGAAACAAAATTAATGACTCATGAAAGACATACGGGTTGAAGAAAAAAAAATAAATATGATAATGTTGAGACCCAAACCAATGTCAACAGCCTCCACAAACCAATGTCAAGACCCTCGCCTGACAACCCAAAAAAGAAAAACAAATATATATCAGTTTAAGGTTTAGAAACACCAACCCAAATACATAACATAACTTAACACCAACCCATATAAATTGAAAGATGCATAAATAAAAAAATGAAAAAAGAAACAGAGCACAAAATATCAATTTAAGGTTTAAAAACACAAATCCAACACAAACACATCAGTTTAAGGTTTGGAAAAACAAATACAAATCTAAATCTTAGAAACACAAACCCAAATTGATGGGTCTCTATTGCTTTGATTGAAAAGAAACATAATGATTTTCAATGCTCTGTTCCAATGCTTTGTGTCTCTTAAGCTTTGTTTCCAACTTTTTCTGTGGTTCCATTGAATGCATACCTAATCACACAAAACCAAACAGAAATCTTAGAAACACAAATACAAATCGAAACTGAAATCTTAGAAACACAACCTAATCAACAAAAATATATACATCTTCTTCGGCTCGATCTCAGAGCCAGAGTCAGGGTAATTTGAAAACCATTTCATGAGGATCAATTATTATTTCAAACCCAAGGATTAGTTTGTATACCATACTACACGTACCTAATCCTATTTGTTCATTAACAACATAATCACCAAATCCTATCCGTTCATCATCATCACAAAAAAAAAAAAACATCAAAAAATTAAAAATAAAACAGAGTTGTATGTGCCTCTTCCAAGTACTTCTTCGACCTCTTTGCCACACTCTTCAACCTCTTCATCATGATCATCAATTTGAATAGATCAGAGCCTTTTATATGTACAAATTTTAGCTACAAAAATTTACTTTGCATAGATCAAGTCTTATACATGTATCAAGGCAGAGAAATCGGGCTCAACATATCTTGCCATTTCATCAAGGCAGAGAAATCGGGCTCTCTCTCGATGAATCCAGTGGTCGTCTCTTACCCCACTTTTTGTCACTCGTTAAAATTATCTGATAAGTCCAACTCATTACATAGCGGTATTTCCTTATTATTGAAATTACATATCAGGTGCCATGTAAACTAAATTTACTAAATTTTTCACTTTCCATTTATCTCATTCATAATCTCCATTTCTTTCCCCAAATATACATTCTATCAAAAAATGGAAAATTGTAGAATACTCTAGGACTACTGAATAATCATCCAAAAAGAAAAGTTATAAAATAACACATCTATTTTCAAGCTTTTCTAAGTGTACAATCACCAAAATATTCCATGTTTTAATTAAAATGTGCAAGAAAAAATGAACAAACAAACAAACAAACAAACAAATAATGGAAGAGTAAAACTCATCAACTTGTTTCAAATAGATTGTGTCGTAGTTCATAGCATATTTCGAAAGTGTGTTCAAATTTTAGCTGTTAACCAAGCTATAATATATAGAGCCAAGATTTATTCTTTGTGACAATGATGTTTGTTCACCAATCAGGATCTGGAATTAAGCTACCAGCCAATGACTTCGGAGGAGTCGTAACAGCCTTCTATGTAAGTTCATATTTACAATGCAAGAAACTCCTGCTAAAAAGGTGTCACTGATAACATAATGTAAATCATTTTTTTTTTCTTTCTTTTGGCAGTTGAAATCAGAAGATAGTGAATTGGATTTTGAGTTCTTAGGCAACAGAAAAGGGAAGCCCATCAGAGTCCAGACGAATGTCTTTTTAAAAGGAAAAGGGAGTAGAGAGCAGAGGATCCATATATGGTTTGAAAACACAAAAACATCAAAATTGAAAATGATATCACACTCCTTAAATCACAATCTGTTAGAGTTCTAACTTATTTTGTTAATCGCCTTTCCCCCTAACAGTTATTTTGTGATGAATATCCCATTCGAGTTTTCAAGAACAACAGACGCGATGGAGTTGGCTTTCTAACACAACCAATGCAACTAATGGCAACTATATGGGACGAAGATAGTTGGGCCACGAATGGTGGAAAAACTAAAATCATTTGGGCTCATGCACCGTTTATAAGTCACTTTCGAGGCTTTGCCATTGACGAATGCCCCTATGACAGCTCTCATAGAAAGTCATCTGACGATAAGTGCAGCTTAAAACTATTGAATTCACAATATAATATTATGCTTAATCACTTTCTACTTCTTCTAATTCTCAACCTTCTCTCGGACCTAATACATTTTTCAGGATGACTATTCGGGCTTGTCTTTCTAGTTCTAAATACACGAAATATTGTAGAATTGAGCTGCACCATGTACAAAAATATGCATACAAAAACATGCTTCATTTGTATGTTCTTCTCATTCATAGCATAAGAATCAACTGTGTCAGAACTTCATACGGTATTTCTTGAACACAACCATTTGCCACTATCTCACCATCATAACCCTTCCATCAAATTAAGCAAAACAGAACACTACACAATAGACTTCAGAGCAAAACAAAATGTTCCTAGACAAAATTCAGAATAAGCATTATTTGCATTGGCTCTATAATAAAAAAAATTACCAAAATGTATGGAAAGTTACTTCATTGAAAATAGGTCCATTAAAAAATTGCACCTCTGCAATAAATATCAATAATAAAATCATGGACCCAAAAAGAAAGAAAGAAAAAATAAGATAAGGTCATTCAGGAAAAAACTTATGCAAATGCATTGCAACTTAGGCAATGAAAACTTTAACAAAAACTTATTTTTTGACCCAAAAGAAAGAAAATTCAACAAAAACAGTAAAATAAAATAAAAAAATGTGTTTAACATATTGTCAAGTAAGTGAAGAGGGTTTTTGAATTTATATAATAAGGGAAAATATAAAATGTAAAATTCAAATATAAAATGTCTTAAACAGGAAAATTCAAATAATGCTTATAAAAATGGAAAATTGACTACAAAATAATGGAAAATGGAAAATGAAAAATTGTCAAATAATGCTTATACAAAATAATTTATTTAATAATGCAAAATTGACTGCAACATCAAATTTAAGGAACAAATAATTTATGAAGTAGTTATTATGGCAATGAGGCTACTGATATCAAATAGAAGACTAATTTAATCAAAGGTTCATTTGCAATTTTCCTAGCTAAGAATGTTAATGACATCTTTATCAAGTGCACTGAAAAGCCCAAATTTCCCTCTATTAGGAAAACATGATCAGATCTAAAAAAGCTCACATTCTAGCTAAACCAAGGAGGGTCAAAGAATTTATCACCCCCTGTAACTATCATTGTGCATGGTATGCAAATCATTGACCCACTGATAGTATTTGTGGTACCCAACACCTAAAACCATCATTATCAGTACCTAATTACGTGCCAATAGCATTACCAAGCTCTAGCTTGTATTCTATGGAATCACAACTCCGATATGAAGAGTTGAAAGAGTAACTAGATGGACCAGCTGGTACAACTCCAGCACCCTAAAACCATCATTATCAGTACCTAATTACGTACCAATAGCATTACCAAGCTCTAGCTTGTATTCTATGGAATCACGACTCCGATATGAAGAGTTGAAAGAGTAACTAGATGGACCAGCTGGTACAACTCCAGCCCATATCTGATTTGCTAATATAACATGAGGGTTCTCCAATTGAATAGGAAATTCTCTGACATGGAAACCAAAGAAAAAATATTTTTTTTATCAACTTTGAAAGTCATGACGCAACCAAGTGATATAGCTAAGAATAATCCATGTAAAGCCAATGCAAATAAATTAAAAAAAAAAAAACCATTCTCTCGTATTCAAAAAATATAAAAATCTCAGCCATTCAAACAAAATGTAAAATTAAAAATAAAAAAAGAACCATTCTCCCTTATTAAAAAATAAGTAAATAAAATCAGAGATGGGTATAGATGATTTACTGTCTTTGGGTCCATGAAAATCCACAGAGAACTTCTCCACCTTATAGTCACTCATCATCCTATTTCACAACAATCAAAACCCAACTATTAAAATAATAATAGAAGCCAATTTTAGTGAATAATACAGAGTGAGCAAACCCAATATTTGTCTAAAGTAATACAGAGCATCCAATATTTGAACAATTTTGTTCAAATATTTGTCCAAAGTAATACAGAGCATCCAACCTAATAATAAATTAATGGAAGAAGAAGAAGAAAAAAAAAATTGTTCTCCCTTATTCAAAAAATATAAAAATCAGAGATGGGTATAGATGATTTACAGTTTCTCTGCGATGGAGGACGGAGGTGCCGTAGTGGGTTGAGATCGGAGGCGACGTGACGGTGGAGATCAGATTATGCCCAAATAAGAATTAGCAGGCAACAAATGCAACTTAACCTTCATAAGTTCATATGACCACAAATGAGAGGAACTCACAAATAAATAAATACAGAGATAGACATAGAAATATCATGATTGTATAGCTCTTTCTGTTAATCGATTTGAGATTTGCAAGCTTAAATATAATTTTAAACCAAGCGCACTACAAATGTCAAGAAGCCCAATCTAAAATGATTAGAATTAGAACCTAGTTCAAATAATTTCATGAATGACCACAGTTCTAATAACTTCACAAACTACAATATCTTGAAACAATCAACTTTTGACCTTTTGTATAACTTTGTCCCAGCAAGGATACAATAAAGTTTGCTCACATGGTCGTAAAGACGATTATAGTTGGTCAAGGAATCCAGTGGTTACCAACATTAACTTCTGCACCTTTTTAGTTACATCCGCAATTTAACAATATTTGTATGAACACAACAATTTTTTTCAAACATCGTACAAAAGATATAATAATAAAATTGAGACATGTCAAAAGAAAATCTTTAATCAAAACATAGTAAAACTGTTTATAAAGTAATAATTTAGCAACCAGAAAGGTTAAAGCTTGAACACAAATCACAACATTATAAATAAATTTCACCTTCCTTCATAAACTTCCCATGAGCTCCCTCACCGATTTTTGATCCGATAAGTAGTAACTTTGGGTCAACCAACAAACTCTCATCAATTGTTAACTCCGGGGCAATGATTGATCCATTCTGTGAAACCAACTTTGGGTCATCCTCAACCGAATTTCGTAGGACTGGTGTGACGCCCTCAAAATAAACCCATAATAACCATAACATTAACATGCATTTATAAAAGAAAACGAATCATTTGAGTTATTCATCAGAGTATTCTTATTGAAAGACATCACATGTAACATCCTGCAACATCAAAATAAATGCCCTAAGGGCTTACATCGTTCCAAGCTAACACTTGGACACAAAAAGGATGAGTACTAACTCAATTACAAGTTAAGCCCTAGGCTTGAATGTTGACATGAAATCTCAAAAAAATAACAAAAAGATGTCATTCATTATATGTTGAAATTCACTAGGAGCATTTTTTAAACCAAAGGGCATGACATTCCATTCATATTGGCCAAAGGGTGTATTAAATGCAGTTTTATATCTATCTTTCGGATGAATTTGAATTTGCCAAAAATCACTTTTTAAATCGAATTTACTGAAAATAACAGCTTGACTGAGTCGTATAATTAAATCTTTTTTATTAGGAATAGGATACCTAATCCATTCTAGAACATCATTTAAAGGTTTATAATTGATAACCAAACGAGGGACACTGCGTTCTAATTCAGCATTTTTATTAACATAAAAAGCAGAGCAAGACCATGGTGATTTACTTGGAGGAATGATTCGGTTGTGTAATAAGTCATTAATTTTCTTTTTACATAGTTCAAGTAATTCATGATTCATTTGAATTGGTCGAGATTTAGTAGGAATATGTCGTTCATCAAAATTTTTAATATAGGGTAAAGTGACTACATGTTTTTTCCGATGCCAAAATGCAGTAGGCAAAGTAGAACAAACAGTCGATTCAAGTTTTAATTTGAAATCAGTGATTTGAGAAATAAGAACTGGATTAGTTAATTGTTGGTCGATGCGTTTATGATTAATTTCTTCTTTAAGAAAATGTAAATGCCTAGTTAGACGATTGATTTGATGGGAAATAGAACAGTCTTTTAGTTGATTTAAGTGTAATAGTTCAGGAGGAGATAAAAATTGAAATGTAACAGGTTGGCCTAAAACATGTGTAGTGATACCGGTACTAGATGTGGTAAATGGATATAATAAATATATAAATGGGGATCCTAAAATAATTTTATCAGTCATATTGGTAACTAAAACAAAAGAGGTTTTAAAACATACATTATCTTGGCAAACATGAACTTTGGGTAATTTATATTTGATATGCATTCGATTACCATTAGCAAAAGTTAATTTCTCTTGACATTTTTCATAATATTTAGTAGGGAGTAATCCTTCTTGTATACAATTTAAATCAGCACCAGTATCAATTAAAGCAATTAATTCTAATTCAAAATCATTTATAATTATTTTAATTTTGGAATACCATTTTTGAATGTAAAGCTTATTAATTAAACTTAACCGTTTTTCTTCAGGATTGTTGGATTGAGAGTGGTGTGATCGGTTGTCGAATAACAAATTATCAGGATTAGTAGGATCAGAATCATGTTCGGAGTCATTTGGGGATTCTTGATCATTAGTTTGGAAATTATCTAAACTTTTATTAAGTTTTAAAGTAATAATTTCATCTTCTAATTTGATATCTTTTTGTTGTAATTCCTTGATTGTTTGTTTAATCTGATTGATTTCATGTTGTAAATCTTGTAATGTAATTTCGGTTACGATTTCAGAGGTTGCGATTTCATCGCTCAGGTATGGCAATCTCTATCACAACTGTTCTTCTCACCCTTTAGAATCAGAATCACAATAGTTCTGAATCTTTTTATTTTCATCATTTCAGATTTCTGAGGTTACGATTTCAGAGGTTGCGATTTCATCGCTCAGGTATGGCAATCTCTATCACAACTGTTCTTCTCACCCTTTAGAATCAGAATCACAATAGTTCTGAATCTTTTTATTTTCATCATTTCAGATTTCTGAGGTTACGATTTCAGAGGTTGCGATTTCATCGCTCAGGTATGGCAATCTCTATCACAACTGTTCTTCTCACCCTTTAGAATCAGAATCACAATAGTTCTGAATCTTTTTATTTTCATCATTTCAGATTTCTGAGGTTACGATTTCAGAGGTTGCGATTTCATCGCTCAGGTATGGCAATCTCTATCACAACTGTTCTTCTCACCCTTTAGAATCAGAATCACAATAGTTCTGAATCTTTTTATTTTCATCATTTCAGATTTCTGAGGTTACGATTTCAGAGGTTGCGATTTCATCGCTCAGGTATGGCAATCTCTATCACAACTGTTACTCTTTTTATATGAACATTGTTCATAGTTCTGATCATAGTTCAGAGGTTGCGATTTCATAGTTCTGAGGTTGCGATTTCAGAGGTTGCGATTTCATAGTTCTGAGGTTGCGATTTCAGAGGTTGCGATTTCATAGTTCTGAGGTTGCGATTTCAGAGGTTGCGATTTCATAGTTCTGAATCTTTTTATTTTCATCATTTCAGATTTCTGAGGTTACGATTTCAGAGGTTGCGATTTCATCGCTCAGGTATGGCAATCTCTATCACAACTGTTACTCTTTTTATATGAACATTGTTCATAGTTCTGATCATAGTTCAGAGGTTGCGATTTCATAGTTCTGAGGTTGCGATTTCAGAGGTTGCGATTTCATAGTTCTGAGGTTGCGATTTCAGAGGTTGCGATTTCATAGTTCTGAGGTTGCGATTTCAGAGGTTGCGATTTCATAGTTCTGAGGTTGCGATTTCAGAGGTTGCGATTTCATAGTTCTGAGGTTGCGATTTCAGAGGTTGCGATTTCATAGTTCTGAGGTTGCGATTTCAGAGGTTGCGATTTCATAGTTCTGAGGTTGCGATTTCAGAGGTTGCGATTTCATAGTTCTGAGGTTGCGATTTCAGAGGTTGCGATTTCATAGTTCTGAGGTTGCGATTTCAGAGGTTGCGATTTCATAGTTCTGAGGTTGCGATTTCAGAGGTTGCGATTTCATAGTTCTGAGGTTGCGATTTCAGAGGTTGCGATTTCATAGTTCTGAGGTTGCGATTTCAGAGGTTGCGATTTCATAGTTCTGAGGTTGCGATTTCAGAGGTTGCGATTTCATAGTTCTGAGGTTGCGATTTCAGAGGTTGCGATTTCATAGTTCTGAGGTTGCGATTTCAGAGGTTGCGATTTCATAGTTCTGAGGTTGCGATTTCAGAGGTTGCGATTTCATAGTTCTGAGGTTGCGATTTCAGAGGTTGCGATTTCATAGTTCTGAGGTTGCGATTTCAGAGGTTGCGATTTCATAGTTCTGAGGTTGCGATTTCAGAGGTTGCGATTTCATAGTTCTGAGGTTGCGATTTCAGAGGTTGCGATTTCATAGTTCTGAGGTTGCGATTTCAGAGGTTGCGATTTCATAGTTCTGAGGTTGCGATTTCAGAGGTTGCGATTTCATAGTTCTGAGGTTGCGATTTCAGAGGTTGCGATTTCATAGTTCTGAGGTTGCGATTTCAGAGGTTGCGATTTCATAGTTCTGAGGTTGCGATTTCAGAGGTTGCGATTTCATAGTTCTGAGGTTGCGATTTCAGAGGTTGCGATTTCATAGTTCTGAGGTTGCGATTTCAGAGGTTGCGATTTCATAGTTCTGAGGTTGCGATTTCAGAGGTTGCGATTTCATAGTTCTGAGGTTGCGATTTCAGAGGTTGCGATTTCATAGTTCTGAGGTTGCGATTTCAGAGGTTGCGATTTCATAGTTCTGAGGTTGCGATTTCAGAGGTTGCGATTTCATAGTTCTGAGGTTGCGATTTCAGAGGTTGCGATTTCATAGTTCTGAGGTTGCGATTTCAGAGGTTGCGATTTCATAGTTCTGAGGTTGCGATTTCAGAGGTTGCGATTTCATAGTTCTGAATCTTTTTATTTTCATCATTTGAAATTTCAGAGGTTAATCCCCAACCCATTTCAGTCCAGGGCTTCACACCCATTAAGTGTTTGTTTGAATGGGTCTGAGAGGGTGTTCCATTTTTTAACTGAATGGATATGGGTTCATTTATTGCTTATTTTTTGCTTGAATCTGAATTTTTTGTGGGTTTGGTTGTAAAGTTGCAATTCATAAAGATTTGTTTAGCCAACTCAAATTACACAGGATACTATGTTAAATAGGGTTTTGGACAAATAACAAGAGAGCTCATATATTTCTTAGTCTGTCTGTTATTGGTACAATTGACGTGGTGTGGACCTTGCCCTCTATTTCTTTCCATAATGACATCTTATTCTGAAGGTTGAAGAAACCATCAGCGGTAAAAATCAGTACATGTGTGCATGTAGGTGAGTATTTTAATGAAGCAACTATGCTGTTAAATAACCAGCATGACTCTGTGTGCTGCAATTGCTAATCAAAGAACAAACAAATTGTTTTCTCACTTTTGATAATGCCTTCCAGCCCTAAATCTGGATATTACAACATCTCACAGTCAGCTTCCACCAGAAAATAAAGAATCCATAATTTAATAAAATTACAGTCAATTAATATAACAATATCCTATATATTGCTGCACCTCAAGTTTTGGCCTGGGTTTGAAAGGAGAATATACCATGCATAGCAGTGAGAAAATGACTGCTTTAGTATGTGTTACAACTTAATAATGGGAGTCAAATTCATTGTTCAAAACAAGAATAATAGCATATTTCAGTTGATAGTTCTGATTAATTCTTGCTTCGGTTCTTGCTTTCAGATTTTCTGATTATCTGAAAATCACCAAGTCGACCATTTTTTTTTGTGGGTTTGGTTGTAAAGTTGCAATTCATAAAGATTTGTTTAGCCAACCCAAATTACACAGGATACTATGTTAAATAGGGTTTTGGACAAATAACAAGAGAGCTCATATATTTCTTAGTCTGTCTGTTATTGGTACAATTGACGTGGTGTGGACCTTGCCCTCTATTTCTTTCCATAATGACATCTTATTCTGAAGGTTGAAGAAACCATCAGCGGTAAAAATCAGTACATGTGTGCATGTAGGTGAGTATTTTAATGAAGCAACTATGCTGTTAAATAACCAGCATGACTCTGTGTGCTGCAATTGCTAATCAAAGAACAAACAAATTGTTTTCTCACTTTTGATAATGCCTTCCAGCCCTAAATCTGGATATTACAACATCTCACAGTCAGCTTCCACCAGAAAATAAAGAATCCATAATTTAATAAAATTACAGTCAATTAATATAACAATATCTTATATATTGCTGCACCTCAAGTTTTGGCCTGGGTTTGAAAGGAGAATATAGCATGCATAGCAGTGAGAAAATGACTGCTTTAGTATGTGTTACAACTTAATAATGGGAGTCAAATTCATTGTTCAAAACAAGAATAATAGCATATTTCAGTTGATAGTTCTGATTAATTCTTGCTTCGGTAAATGAAGAGTCTAAGAAATGAAGAGTCTATTATAAAATTATGCTTATCATTTATTTTTTTTTAAAACAAATATGATAAAAATCGTATAATTACAAACCTTTGCTACTCTGATAAGTTATTAGTGGGTCAGTGGATAATGAGAAAGTTCAAAGCAGACAATTTAACATGAAGTTAGAGGGCCACTATGAAGAGGTTCCCTGATTATTTTCTTTACTGTTTAAGTGGGGAGGGCTGGAAATGCGTGAAATGATAATGTAAAATGATAATGTAAAATGTGACTTTTCATGGGTATCCAAAAATCTCCACATAATTGCTCCACTTCTAAGTTGATGCTCACTTAGCAAGAATTACATTTGGATTAGGCTAATAACACTGACACAAATAGACTTACTTGGAATTCACACTTCGGAAGGACTGTTGATGAGCAAACTGCCAAATTATCCACCACAGATGCAAACAGAAGACAACAAAATGAAATTGTTATTTGAAGTTCATTCAACCGGATCAAAAGGACAATTACATTTAAACTTACACACTCAAGTGGCAAAATAAAAAAGACTATTTGCTGCCTTACCAGTATATTTGGATCAATCTGAGCACCAACTATATCTCTTTTAGAGGATCGATCCCCTCCGCTAGTAGATCCCTTCGTGAACAAAATATTGCCTGAATCAGTAATGAACAAAATAAGGAACAACAGTAATTCCGGCAAGAAATTGGCTCAAATACCTCCAATTGAGAAACCACAATTATTCCCCAAAATGAACCGGGCAAAATAGAAAAGAAAAAAAAAATGGTGTCAGTTTAAATTCATAATGATTATGCAAAGTAACAGAAAATCAGATAAGGATATAAGCTAATCCTTGGTTCAATTGCAGAGATTTAGTCATTGCCAGGACTGATAGTATATTAATCATTTCGAGAAATTCAATTGATGCCTATCACGCTATTCTACCTCACTTTTGGCCACTAATCTTTACAGCGAGCAATTATTATTTTTTTTTTTTGTATAATGATCATCTTCATCTAGGGTGGGAAATTGATAATTAATCACTGCATAACACGATGGCTGAATTCAAAGTGAATAAAGATTTTTCTTTTTGTTGTTTTTTAAACACATTTTTAACAACTGGATGGTGGACCAAAGTTCAAATTTTCCAGAACTAAATTAGACCCGTGAAAATGGAAAAGCACACTAACTATTCTCACTCAATTTCCAAAAGTACTACATACCCTTTGCCTCAATACAGGCACTTCATGGAAAAGACTTGTAGTTACTTCCAAATTTCCAACCAATTGAATCAAGGTTGCACAGCCATATAATCAAACAAAAACACAAAATAATTTTTTTTTTAAATATCAAAAAAGCAATGAAATTTCAATAAATGAAGATTACTCGTTTAGGAAAAACCTAAAAAAATAAAAATAAAAATAAATAAAAAGAAGAAAGAGATTCCAAACAAAACAGTATAAGATAGTTTGAAATAAAACAGTATAAGATTTCACAAAGCAAGAAAATTTCCATATAGAAAGTTTGAAATAAAAGATTTCCACGAAAATTTGAAATAAAAGATTTCCAAGAAAATTTTCCATATAGAAAATTTCCAAGAAAATTAATCACAAAGCAAGAAATTTGAAAGAACCAACTATAAATACAAAAAGTCTTACTTTGTCGTTCCAAAATTCCCCAAAATTTCTTTGTCCTCGATTCTCTTTGACACGAAGACTGGCTTCTTCGTCGCCTTAATTTCCCGCGACTTCAATTTCTGAATCATCAGCAAAATTCGCAGCTACTTATTCGCGTTCCAAAACCCTCCTACGAAAATCCAAAATCAAACTCGTTTTCTGCATCATAATTCACCATTCATCTTAATAAGTCCACGTTGAAATACGCTAATTTTCACCAGATTTCGAACCATCGTATACCACATTCGAACCATCAAAACCCTCATTTTCCCAGATTTTCCCCTTCGAAATCAGTCGAGTAAAAGCCCTAATTTTCATCAGATTTCGGGAATCGTATCAAAGATAATGACTTCCGTTAGAAATACGCTAGAAATACGCTAGATATCTCAGATAATGACTTCCTAATTTTCACCAGATCTTGCCGTTGGAAGGCAACGCCTTCTTCATGATCCGACTGATGTTGGCGATGGGTAGGTAGCGGTCCTGATTGCGAACGTCGGAGTGAGGGAGAGTGGTAACGGAGAGCTCCAATCGGGGTTGCGAATCGGAGAGGTCCAAGGCAGCGAGTGGGAGGGTTGCGAATTCAAGCCACTGAGAGAGGAGGGGGGAGAAGGAGAGAGGTAGCGTGCAACAGAGAGGGAGAGAGAAAAAGATGGAATGGGTAGAGATGTGGGTAGGTGGGAGAGGGAGAGAGGACCGAGTGTTTGGGCAGGAAAACACATCTCAACCATTGATTTTTATTAGAATGGATCTAAACCATGGGATCAAAATGTATCTCACATACATTTTTAAGACATTTTCAAAAACACTCTTGACTTATCTATATCTATCTATCTATCTATACTATTATAAAGTGAACACATAATATGGTGTCCTGAAGTTTCACTCTCCTCATGCCATGTGGCAGTATTTTTTATTTTTTAAAAAAAAGTTAAACAAAGAGATGGGCAAGGCTTGAACCCATGACCATGGGTTTAAGTACGAGAACTCATACCACTTAAGCTAAATACACATTATAATATTAATTTCATTATTAATATTATAAAACAGAACGGGTTTTGAAAATGTGTTAGACACAATTGATATTTCAAGGGTTAGGATTCATTTGTGTATTCACATGGATGGCTTAGATAACCCCCTTAATTTTATATCAATCCTTAATTTTATGCCTCCTCCTTACCCACGTCTCCCCACCCTTCTATCTGTATCTCTCTGATCTCCGGCCAAATCACGTCCCCCCTCCATCCCTCTCTCTCTCTCTCTCTCTCCCTGTTCTTCTTCTTCCCGAAACTGCTCTCCTTCAACCACAGATTCGGTTTCGTCTCCATCCCTATATTCGGTTCCGTCTAGCTGTGCTTCAACCGCTCAGGTATGGCAATCTCTATCACAACTATTCTTCTCACCCTTTAGAATCAGAATCACAATAGTTCTGAATCTTTTTATTTTCATCATTTCAGATTTCTGAGGTTACGATTTCAGAGGTTGCGATTTCATCGCTCAGGTATGGCAATCTCTATCACAACTGTTCTTCTCACCCTTTAGAATCAGAATCACAATAGTTCTGAATCTTTTTATTTTCATCATTTCAGATTTCTGAGGTTACGATTTCAGAGGTTGCGATTTCATCGCTCAGGTATGGCAATCTCTATCACAACTATTCTTCTCACCCTTTAGAATCAGAATCACAATAGTTCTGAATCTTTTTATTTTCATCATTTCAGATTTCTGAGGTTACGCCCATTTCAGTCCAGGGCTTCACACCCATTAAGTGTTTGTTTGAATAGGTCTGAGAGGGTGTTCCATTTTTTAACTGAATGGATATGGGTTCATTTATTGCTTATTTTTTGCTTGAATCTGAATTTTTTGTGGGTTTGATTGTAAAGTTGCAATTCATAATATTCTTTTGCTTAAATCTGAATTTTTTTGTGGGTTTTGTTTGGTTGGGTTGATTTTTAACTGAGTTTTGAATCTGTTATCTGTAATCAGTTGAATTCTGTATCCATCCCAATACAATTCTTGCTGGATTTTTCTTTAATTTTGTATCTGTAATCATTACTCATCCTTCAAAATGTTTGGGATTTTTGAAATCACCTGCCAATAATGTTTCTAAGCAAAATTCAGTTGATAGTTCTGATTAATTCTTGCTTCGGTTCTTGCTTTCAGATTTTCTGATTATCTGAAAATCACCAAGTCGACCATTTTTTTTTGTGGGTTTGGTTGTAAAGTTGCAATTCATAAAGATTTGTTTAGCCAACCCAAATTACACAGGATACTATGTTAAATAGGGTTTTGGACAAATAACAAGAGAGCTCATATATTTCTTAGTCTGTCTGCTATTGGTACAATTGACGTGGTGTGGACCTTGCCCTCTATTTCTTTCCATAATGACATCTTATTCTGGAGGTTGAAGAAACCATCAGCGGTAAAAATCAGTACATGCGTGCATGTAGGTGAGTATTTTAATGAAGCAACTATGCTGTTAAATAACCAGCATGACTCTGTGTGCTGCAATTGCTAATCAAAGAACAAACAAATTGTTTTCTCACTTTTGATAATGCCTTCCAGCCCTAAATCTGGATATTACATCTCACAGTCAGCTTCCACCAGAAAATAAAGAATCCATAATTTAATAAAATTATAGTCAATTAATATAACAATATCTTATATATTGCTGCACCTCAAGTTTTGGCCTGGGTTTGAAAGGAGAATATAGCATGCATAGCAGTGAGAAAATGACTGCTTTAGTGTGTGTTACAACTTAATAATGGGAGTCAAATTCATTGTTCAAAACAAGAATAATAGCATATTTCAGTTGATAGTTCTGATTAATTCTTGCTTCGGTTCTTGCTTTCAGATTTTCTGATTATCTGAAAATCACCAAGTCGACCATTTTTTTTCTTGAAAGGCTTGCGGAGATACCAGAAAACAGAGTTTCTGCAAAGCATTACGGTTAATTTTCAGGTTAAATTCTTTCAGGTAAAATTCTAATTGCGAACATATAAACTTCTAATACTTCGTTTTCCAAATTTTTCACATTTCGCAGTAGCTTGATTTGTAAGATTGATGATGATTGAGATTGAATCTATTGAGATTGAATCATACAAGGGTCTTATGATTGCAGTTGGCAATGCTACATCTGTTTCAATACTAATGGTAGCAATGTCGAAGTGAAAATCGTAAGCAATCACATAACCGTTAAATGGTTTATCATTCATCACACAAACACCAACCTCAACCTGCAATAATAGTAAGTCATACCCACCCAAAAAAATAATAATAAAAAACATTGAATAGTGTTGTACTATGCCAAGTATTTTATAATTTAAAAAAAAAAAGAACAACAACAACAACCACCACCACCTTAATGTCATCTGGTATAGCATTTGCATCAATAGGTGATCTTAGGAGAGTTGCAGAAGTTAAAATGGTACTGATGAATGTTCCATTACATCCTCGCATTCTATTATAGTCCCAGAACATGCAAACATCATCTTCCCACCTAGACATTTGAAATAAATAAGCAAAGTCTCTACCTCTGTGTATAGCATTTGTATAAACATGAAAGCACATGCAAGAATGAAAACTTTTATTGTCAATTAGTAGAGTGTAGTCTATTAAATATATTTTTTGAAATTGTAGAGTGTAGTCTATTAAATATATTTTTATAATTGCATTTTAATCTTAAATTTAAATAGTGTTGTAATTACAATTATATTATAATCCTAACATTATTTACACCGTGTCTTCAGGCACGGGCATACGCTAGTCCACCAATATGATATGAGACAAGAGTGGAGCGGAGACTACAAACCGACCCGCCCAGTACCCATTCCCCGAACCAACCGACCATTCATTCCTCCCAGCCCGTATGATGGAATACGCTAACTCGCTTACAAGTTCACAAATCAGACTTGAGAGCAAACGCACATTAGACTAGAAAAGATAGCAAAGTGATGAACACAATCGCACACAGATTCACTCTCCTCCTCCTCCTCCTCAACCCTCGCTTCCTTCCCTCTCCTCGTTCCTTCCGAGGTCCTCCTCTTTCCACATAATCGTCAGTCTCTCTCTCTCTCTGACATAAATATATCTATATTCTTAATATGTGTGTGTCCTTTTTAGGTGTGTTGAAGATTGGATTTGAGCGAGGAAGAAGGAGAATTGGAGGGGGTTTTGGGAAGAAGATGGCTTGGAGTTTGGAGAAATGCAATGGGGTGATGAACTTGGAAACTAGTAGTAATAAGTTGGGCGTAGTTCGCACCGCTACAGAAGCTCATGCGGAAGAGGCAATTGAAGCTCTGAAAGATGGGAAGGTCATTGCGGTTCCCACAGACACACTCTATGGCTTCGCTTGCGATGCTTGGTATTTGCCCCACCACTTCTAAGTCTTCCTTCTTCTTTCATTTCCTAATTTTCTTAAGCATTCGTCGTCGTCATCATCTATATTTTGTCAGTATTTGAATATCAATAATATTTTACCTCTGTTTGTTTGTTTGGGTAGAAAATATTTTATTGGTTGGAAATTTGAAGAGGGATTTAAAAAAGAAAATGAAAAAAAGTGCGTGAAATATGAATAAAATATATTTATATTTTACTTAAGTTTATGCATTTCTGTTTTTAAATGTCTTTTCAAATCCCGAAATACAGTTTTAATGTAAAACGAAAGCAACGGAAAACAAGTATGGGCATAAAATATTTTTTACATTTAAAAGAAAATATTTTGGGATACTTTCTCATAAGTGGACTTATTATCTAATAGGTCATATGGGAAAAATTTGTCAAAAAAAATGTCACTAATTGTAAGTTTTAATGGCAATTTATAAAAATCAGGACAAAAAAAAAAATCACTAATTGTCAATTTTTAGCGACATATATAAAAAATTGTCACAAAAAATTTATTTTTAGTGACAATTTTACTAAGACTTATTTTTAATAGGACTTGATGGGAATTAAGTCCACTTATTAAGACTTATTAGTAGTTTACCCAAATATTATCTTTCAAACTAAAATTTTATCAATGTCACCATACTACCACCACCACTCTCCCCTCCACGACCATGCCACCATCACCACGGCCATTGCCACCATCACCGTTGCCATCGCTGCTGCAGCCACCCCATCATCATGTCACCACTTCTACCTCTACCTTCATTACACCACCACCACCAAATATATTAGGGTCTATTTGACCAAGTTTGCTATTTTTGGATCCTTATATATAGGATTATGTTGGTGTTCTAGGGATTTGGCGACCTGGTGAGCTTTTGTTAAGAGGGTTGTTGAGAGTGAGAGCCGAGTCATTGTAATTCTTCCATTTTACTAGTTTTTTTTTTTTTCCTTCTGTGTAGTTTGCTTTTAGGTATGTACTTCAATTATAAGGTCCCTGCATTTATTTTCGTTAAGGTTTCTGTGTTGATAGTTTGCTTTCTAGCTTGGAATCCAAGTCTTAGTTTAGCAATATCCCCTCAAATGTGATTCTGATGTTTAGATGTGCTAGAAATTGAGATTTGATCATCAGAGAAATTGGGGTATGATATTTGTGTACGTGCTCTCAGTTATTTGAAATTTGAATTGAATCAATTGAGGGGAGAATAAAAATGCTTCCAAATTCATCAAAGGTATATTTTTGAGCAATACCTTTGTCATGCTGAACTGCAACTGGGTAACAAATCCCAGTACTCTCAAGTTTTGTGATCTTGAAACGAGGGAAGTTCAAATCCGATAAGAAATGGTGAGGAATGACTTAAGTAAGGCATTTTTGTTATGAGCCAAAACTCTCCCCGATTAATAATTTACTCGTAACAATAATAGTTGCAGAGGAAGGGCTCCAATTTCCCACTTTAGAAATGTGTGAAGGCCCAACTGACAGTAAGAATGATGTAGGACACAAGATTCATCATTTTTGATGACCTTAAAAAAGGCAGACATGATAAACACCAGTAAGAGATATGAGAGGTAGGTGATGCTACTGACGAGGATTCTGACAGTACACATTAAATGCTTTGTAATTTGTAGATGTTTTTATTGTATGTATATGACAGAAACAAGAAACCCATTGACATAATTAGCCCTAAAGAAAATTACTGACAACTAGTACATACTGTGTATAAAAACTATAATATATAAGGTAATTTGAAGGATGATTTTCCTTTAATAATTTAATAATGCAGCAGTAGTTGCCAAGCAACAATTGACAACTCATTTCACATAATAGAACTTTAAATGATTTTTCTGAGCTAATTGTACATAAAAGGCTGCACAATGATGTTGGTTTTTTCTGTCGTAGACCCATCACAGAGGAGAAATGATGGCAGGTATACTAGTGGGGTATTGGTGGAGCTATATCAAGTGTTTGGATGCTTGGAGAATCGAAGATAGGTAGGTGGTGTCCCTCATCTAGCAATCTAAGTGGGAAAAAGGTGGGTTTAGAGAGAGATGAGAGAGGCTCATGGTTTGAGAGGAAAGGGGAGGATAAAATCATGAGAGAGAAGAGTGTTGGGTCTATTTATAGTAGTAGAAAAGTAGCCCTAAGGTCAATGCAAAGAATAATTCCAAAACCCCCAAAAGTAGGGCCCATTCGGACCCAAAAATTCTGGAAATAACACGCAGGGGTCGACCCTTAGGACTGAGGTGTCGACCCTTAAGAAGAAAAGTTGGAAGATTAATGTTTTCTGCAGCCAAGGGTCGACCCTTGGAGCTCAGGTGTCGACCCTTTATTTCAGAATGTGATCCTGGACAAAACAGTAAGGGAAGGGTCGACCCTTGGAACTCGGGTGTCGACCGCAGAGAAAACCAGCAGAGGCACTAAGAATTCGAACAGGTATAACTCTCTCGTTCGGACTTCGTTTTAGGTCGTTCTTGTATCCAAATCGAAGCCCCAGAAACAAGCTTTTCCATGGTTCCGGCCTCACATTCAATTTCAAAGTATGGAAGGAGAAAAGAGCTAAAGAGTGAAGGTTGGTCAAAAACGAAAACTCAAATTTGGGGCTTTTGATCTAATCTTGCCTAAATACCTTGTTAAGACTAGTTGGGTGTTTTGACGTGAAGAAAATATGGATTTTTCCCTTTTGTTTATGTAACGTGCATACTTTATAATAGTTGATACCTGTGTTTTTTTCCCTTTTCATAGGATGATACTTGAAGTTGAAGATTAGGGATTTTTATTTAACTTTTTTGGCATTTTCTTTTTTTTTTTTATTTAATTTTTTTATTGGGTTTATTTGTTTCATTAGGATTCGATTATTGTTTAATTTTAGTGAACTTTTCATTAGGGGTTAGGATGCCTATATAGGCTTATATGTAATAAGTTTGGAGAATGTTTTTGGCATTGATTGAATATTGAATTGATTGGTTTGGAGTTGTTTCCCCGTTTTTTTATCCTTCTCTTGTTCTTTCTCCCCTCCTTTTCCTCTTCTTGGTGCTACTTGGGCTGCCTATTATTCTTGATTCTTGCTTCTTGCTTCTTGCTTCTTGCTTCGTCACTTTAATACATCACTTGCACTAGCTCATTCATTCTTTTTATGTGGAGCCTATTGCAGCTCTGTGGAAGCAGTTAATAGGATTTATGAGATCAAAGGGCGTAAACATACAAGCCCTCTTGCAATTTGTGTTGGAGATGTATCAGACATAAAACGATTTGCTATAACAGATCATTTGCCTCACGGCTTGCTTGATTCTCTTCTTCCAGGACCAGTGACTGTGGTGCTAAGGCGAGGTTTGTAACCCACAGTTGTGTTTAACATGTATATGAGAATCTGAGATATCTGTTTTCAAGTTCAATCATGATGAGATGAACCAGACCTACAAGCTAGACTAGAGTACTGTTTTCCTCAACAAAAATCTTATTTTCTTTTGTTCAATTGGCTGAACTAGTAAGAAGAAAAAATAAATATTCAGATGACTCATTTCCTGTAACTGCAGTACTTTTAGACCATGTTACAGACATGCAATGCAATCAATTTGCAAGTTGAAAACTAATTAAGCTGTTGTTTTTCATCTCTATGTTGTTTGAAATTGGAATATTGATTTTTTCAGGGGAAGCAAGTATACTAGAGAAGTCTTTAAACCCTGGATTGGATAGCATTGGAGTTAGAGTACCCGATTGTAACTTTATTAGGATCATTGCCCATGGCTCCGGAAGTGCACTGGCCCTTACCAGTGCAAACTTAAGCGGGCAGCCTAGTAGTGTCTGCATCAAAGATTTTGAGAACCTCTGGGAACACTGTGCTTATGTTTATGATGGTGGTGTGCTTCCATCAGGGCGTGCAGGATCAACTGTGGTGGAACTAATTGAGCCAGGAAAGTACAAGATCCTTAGAGCAGGGAGGTAAGAGTCTGAAATTCCAAAATCAAGAGATTTATCGTAGTGTATGTTTATAGCTTTTTCATTATCAATAGCTAAGGCAAAAAAAAATTTATTTTAGTGGCAGATGCACTATTTGATTTTGGAATCGAATCTTGAGTTCTTGGCTGACCATTTTATGCATATTTTTGATTTTGGAATATAAGTCTTTACTGGTTTGATACAGAATGGGATATCTTATTCATCTATGGTATTTCGTAATCAAAGAGAACAAATGTAGGGAGATTGATAAATCCAATGCCCACAGTCCTCTCTTTCACAACATGGAGCCCACCCATGCGAGAGGAACATCTGTGGATTCAGGTTAAATGTAACATTGATGTAATTTCATAGTTCTTTTGGCTCTAGACAGAGATGCAACTAGTTTCATTAGTAAAGTATCTAAGTAGTCGTACTAGAGACTTGAATCTAATCTCTACCTTTGTCAAGGTTGGGGGATTTAAGAATGAGGGTAGGCTACCCTCCTCGGATAGTCCAAAAAGAAAAGAAAAGAACAGAAGAAAAACTTCTGGTTAATATGGTGGGAACCTCATTTGGGTGTCATTACTTTATTTTATTTTTGGTGAATTGTGGATGCCTTTCTTCTTATTCTCATTGTTTGTTGTGCGAAAAGTAACAAAAAGGGCATTAAGAAATTTCCAAAAACATATATGGTCTAGCTTTTATTCCATCAGTCTTTGTTGTCATATTTGATATCTCACTTCAGTAGGAAATTATTTGAGTTTCGCCTTATCAGCCCCATCATTTGTTTTAAAAAAAGAAAAAGAAAAAAAGAGATACTATGATCTCTAAGAATGTGCTTCAAGCCCTTTAAGTTTAATAGGTGCAAGTACTTAATTTGTGGTCACTAAATTGGAAAATAACCATCTCTAGGTATCTCCCAAGTAAGCTTAGCTTGTTCTTTTGTTTTTGTGTTTGATATACAAAGAGAATAAGGGTGTTTTGATTCATTTTTATTTTTTTTGCAGTGCCAAGGAAGAGACTGTTGCGATCCTTGAGAGGCACTCTCTAGTAGAATATGATGGAACGATGACTACGTAGCAAGAGGTCTGGCGTGATGGGTGGTTTGATTTTTTTTATACTATACCAGAACTAGCTCTTATGGGAGGCTGCACCGAACCTTTTTACAAGTATTCTTGGGTATAAGATTTTTGATGGAGAATTGTCAAAATTAAAATTAAAATTAAAATTTTTTGGGGTGTAGAATTGCTGTTTAACCAAGCATATATGGTTTGCACCAATAATAAGGAAAAAAAAAAAGTGCATGGACAAATTTCATATTCCACTAAGTGCATGGAGAATTGTCAAAATTAAAATTAGTTGTATTACATATTTCATATGCTGCTGCTGCTGCTGCTGCTTCTTCTTCTTCTTCTTCTTCTTCTTCTTCTATTTCTCTCCCTCTCTCTAGTAAATAACAAGAGGAAGGAATATTCATATTCCACTAATTGGTATCCATGTTTTATTCACCAAAATACATGTAATAACATATTTAGTACACTCATATAGAATGTCTAGTACATATATACTATTATATAAAACATACAACTCATAAGGTTTTGAAGTTTTGTACTGTTTCTTTTTTCTTTCAAAAATACCCATAATTAATTTTATCAAATTATCAAAATATTTAAATATAAAATTATAACATTGCATTTGGATAAATAATTCAAAAAAGAATAGTCAGTTTGCTTTTAGCTATAAAAAACTAAAAATGTTAAAAAAATCAACTCTTTCACTAACAAAAAATAATTTCTTAACAATTACTAAACATATTATTATTTTTTAAATTATAAAAAATAAAAAAATAATAACCAAACTCCACCTAAAAAACAAATAAACTAAAATAGTAAAGAAAACAATTTTATAATTTGTGAAGGCATTATGATAACATTTCGCTCAACAAGAGCATTCTTTCATTTTTTTAAAAATTATTTTCTCTTAATTTAATAATATTTATTTTTTCCCCTTTAATAACACTAAAGGAAACATAATTAATACAAATGGTGTGAAAACATGAATAAAGTAAAATATATATTTTAATGTAAAACCAAGACAATGTCATTTTTTCATTTATATAACTAAAAAATTATTAATGAAAATAAGTTAATATTTTAAAGATATTCACAATTATATCAAATTTGTAAAACTTTATTTTTTTTTAAAAAAAAACCTTGGTTTCATTTGTTTATAAAGAATCAAATGATAGAAAATGAAAATAATAGAAAATTAAGTGAAAGAAAAGAAAGGGGGGGAAAAAATAATTTATTTTTTACATGCATTTGAATAGATGAAAAATTTTGTAAAAAATAATGGAAAAAAAATATAATCACGGCATAATATGAAGTTGTGGAGAGAAATATAGGCAAAATAAATAAATAAATCTTGTTGAGATTTATGAAAAGTAAATAAATTTCCTTATATATTTTACAAGAAATTAGAGCATCTCCAGTAAGGATAGTCAAAATAGCTATTCAAAATTTCAATTTACTATTTTAGCTAATCATTTTTTTAATATACACTCCAACTTCCATTAAAATATTCTTATACATTAACTACCTTCTTTCCCATCTAAAAAAAAAAAAAAAAACTAACTTCTTTCAAATTATTATTTTTTTTCATTCTTTTAAATATAATTTTATTTTTGTAAAAGTTACATTTTTCTACTGTCATATTTTTCAAACGGTCATATTTTTTCAACGGTCATATATTTGTAACGGTCATATTTTTTCAACCGTCATATTTTTGCAACGGTCAGATTTTTCTAACAGTCATATTTTTGCAATGGTTATATTTTTTTACTTTTTAATTATAAATAAGGCATTCCCTCTCATCTGATTTTACCCTCAACTCAATTTTCTACTTCATCCAAACTTCCATATCTCTCTCTATGGCTTCCAATTCTCTTTGGCCACGCTTGTTTGGTAGATTAGGTTGAATGAGATTATGAGTACGGTGGAATTGAGTGAGGGGATTAGTAATGTAGTGGTATTAGATTGGAGATATAAGATAAAGAGTGTTTGTTTGTACACCACTGGATTAATAATACCATAGCAATTATTTTTGTTTGTATTGTTATTTTTAAATGGGATTAATATGTGAAATTTCATAAATGCCCTTCTTCAATTGACAATAAAATCTGGGCAAACAAATACATGAAGAACAAAATTGGGCAGCTTACATGTTGAAATATATTCACTACTAAAAAATCTGGGCAAACAAAATCACCAATCATTGAACAAAATCCGGGCAAGCAAATGCATGAAGAACAAATCACCATCTTCTGTGTGAGAGAGAGAACAATAATATTCACCACTAAAAACATATATTCATTTATAACATAGTCCAGCAACATGTCCAAAATGTATGAAACTGACTGTTCCCATACTTACTAAAAAGTGAGGCCTTTATCTCACAGCTTAGAATATGAAAATTTCAGAACATACCAGTAAGTCCTAGGGGTCATTTGCTGAAGTTATATTACATAATCATTGAGGACCATCATACAACTAATTCAAAAGTAACCATCATACAGATAATATATTACATATTCAAAAGGACCATCATATAGCTAATTCCATACTCAAATAATAGACCCTTCCAACAACATACAAACCCACTCCATCTTGCCATCCTCCTCTAGACTGAAGAACAAATCAACCCGCTTCCCATCTTTGACTATCATTGATGCTACCTTCAACCTTTGGCCAGTACTTATTGGTAGTTTCAAGAGTTCTGTATTGGCCAACCTCCTTTGCTGGGATAGGTCATGTGAATACCCTATCCTATGAGCTATCTCTGACATCCTACTATTAGTATTTTCAAAGAATGCTCCAAAAGTAATAGCCATCTCAGATAGTTCTTGGGAAATCCCCGCAGCAGGTTTGACTCACTTTTTCCCTGCTTTAGACGAGTTAGGAGGTTTAGACGAGTCAGGAGGGTTAGTTGTATTACCTGAAGGTGACATTGAATAATCAATGTTAGTTTCATTAAACTAGAATTGTTCCACCGGGGACTCATCTCCTTTTTCTCTAGTTGTTTCCTCATTCTTCATGGCTGCAACTGATTCAGCTGGACCTTCAGCTAACTCACCAGTAACCCTATCCTTGCCAAACAGAATAAGCCAATCATCATAATATGGAAATGGCTTGTTTCTCATTCCTTTTTCGTCTGGCACTTTCTGCACAAATGAGTTTTAAACTATCACAATTCAAAGTTTACTAAGCAAAAACCAATAAATTCAACTTTAGAAAGTAAAAAAATAGAAATTGTTTATACCTTAACATGGTTTGACCAAACATCATCACTATCGACAAGGACCATCTTCTCACAATCATCCTAGCCAAAACCACTAGCATTCACCATATCATAGAGAGTGCTAAATTGTTTCCTCCACAGCTTAATCTTGATTCGATATGAGGAGAGGCTCGACGATCGTTTCTAGCAAATGCTAGTAAGATTTTCTTCTCGCATAAATTGTAGAAGCCTAGCCTAAATTGGTTATTATCATGCTTCCACTTAGGATCACTTAAGAACACATCATTCATAGCCCCAATGAGAAAATCCTCCTCACGCTTGTTCCAAAACCTTCGAGTTGCTTTTGCATTGTTCTTTATTTTTTGGTACTTGTGTTATCCATACTTATATGCATATCATAACATCAACATCTCTCATAAATAACAAAGCAACATAAACAATATCTATTACAAATTCCACAAGAAAAATTTTCAAATATTTTAATTACATGTCTTATATTAAACATCCAAAATAACAAGAAAAAAGTTTCACATAACAATATTTAACAAAATAATATTCATTACAAATACCACCAGCAATATTTTGAAATAGTTGAATTACATGTCTTCTAGTGAGCATCCAATAATAAGTATAAAAGGTTTCATTCAACAATATTTAACAAAAAAACATTTCTCCATTTGTAGGTTATTTCCCTAGCCTCTTTTTGCTTGCCATTCATTAACATCTGGTTTGCCAAAGCAGTTCTCCAATCCATTGATCAGATGTTTCTGCAACATCAATGAATTCATCCCCTAATTCAGTTGGAGGGGATCATGTTCTTCATCATCAAATGGATCCACAGGCATTTCACGTTTTATGAGGTTGTGGAGAAAGCAACATGCAATAATAATGTAGAATTGCGTCTTGATTGGAATATAAGAATAGGTACTCAAAATTGCCCACCTCATTTTAAGTAACCCAAAACACCTCTCAATGACGTTACGAGCAGAAGAGTGTTTCATGTTAAAAAACTCTTCCGGAGTTGTAGAAGCACCCATTTCTCTCAATGTGGAAAGGTGGTAACGCTGTCCTCTATAAGGTACAAGGAAACCCTCTCCATTTGTGTAACCTACATCTACAAGATAGTAGTAGCCTGTAATTATATAAAATAATTTCACTACGTAAGTAGGAACTTTTTAACTTATAGAAATATATGCTATTTATATAAGGATTTGTAATTATCATACCCGTGGGCACTTTCAACCCATTTGGTCTACTGATTGCATCTCTAAGTACCCTAGAATCAGAAGTAGACCCCTCCTATCCAGGCAAAACATATATGAATTGTATGTCTTGGGAGCACACACCTAATACATTTGTAGTAATTTCCCCTTTCCATGTTTTTTGCCTTGGTTTGCCTATTGTTGGAGCACGAACCTTAACATAGGTTCCATCTAAAGCCCCAAGACAATTCTAACAATAAAAAATAATATAGAAATTTACACATTTCAACCAAAAAAAAATGTATTGCCTAAATCAATTTGCAAATGAGTTATACCTGAAACCACCTCCATTTATCATCTGTGCAATTAGCAATTGTTGGCTCGGGCGCCTTAAGTAAGACACCTTGGAGACGGAACACAGCCTTGAGAACATCATTGAAGTACTTACTAACTATTTGACCACTCTGCATGAAATTAAATTTGATTTTGCGGTTTTTAGTATAATGTGCAAGGAGATTCAAGAACATAGCTACTTGCTCTTCTAAGACAACATATTTAGAATCTCTCAGTCCAACATTTCGTACTAATCCACACAACAACATGAATGTAGGCCTATTCATTCGTAGCATATCATGACAACTTACTTCACTATATCTGACCAACCTATTCAAATGGTCAATTTGTGTCCTGTATGGATGAGGTGATCTATGCAATTACAACCTAGCTTCGTTTGTCTCCAAGGCCGCATGTAACATTACCATGTACACAACAAATGAATAATTAATGGATGCAACAATATGTTGAAGTGATACAAATGCATGCATGAGGTCCCTCTTCCCTTTTGAAATAGGATAATTATTATCCATCTACACACAATAAAACATTGAATCAAACAATATAAAACCAAAATC